TGCTCCAGGACAAGTCCGTGTGTGGCCGTGCGTGCCCTGGTGGCCTCCGGGTACACAGAACGGTCCACGGCGAGGGTGCATGGTCCACGCCGTGAAGCCCGCGTCTGGAAACTGATGGACATGCCCCCCCCCTTGCTCAACTGGGGGCCTCCTTGGAAAGGGTCTGGAAACAGGTCGGCGTCGAATTTCCAGACCGCGGACCATGTAGAAACGCCCCGTCACCATTTCCGCAACCTCTTTCCAAGCGCGGAACGGGTCTGGAAACCGGTCGGCGTCGAATTTCCAGACCGCGGACCATGTAGAAACGTCCCGTCACCATTTCCGCAACCTCTTTCCAAGCGCAGTGGGGTCTGGAATTGCTTTCAGGGCCGGCTTTCCACACCGGTTTCCAGACCCAGTGGGGTCTGGAAAACACCCCAGCGCCCAAACTTTTCCAGGACGCCGGCCAGTGCGGTCCACTCCTAAGATGCACGACAGCACTTTAGGCTTGGACCCCACTGCATGGCGGCTGGAAACTTTTGAGCATGGAAGGTGTTCAAGGGACCCAATAAGGCCGCCATTCTCAATTTTTTTCTCACCGCCGACCTCCTTTTCAGACCCCACTGACCGGGAAAACTGGCATGGAAACCAGGTGAAAAGTATTTCTACTCAGGGTTGGACCCCACAGGAATGCGGATAAGGGAAAAGTTTGCTGCGGAAGTGTTTCCGGGACCCCACACCTCGCGGAAAAGATTATGGAAAGGCCGAAATGTCTTCCAAAAACCGTATTCCGGGGCCCCACAGCCCGCATTTCGTGGCCTGGAAGATTGCCTGTGGACGTTTTCACATCGTCCGCGGTCTGGAAAACGGTGAACTGAGGAAATCACGCCGCAAATTTGTGCCAAAAGCCAAGGTTGGCCCCCTGATCCATCTTGAACTTTTCCAAAACCAGGTCCCATGGACGGACCATGAATAGTTCGTCCATGCATTGTCCGACATCGGTGGACCATGTGACCCTGGAGCGAATTGTCGCACGGCCATTTCCCGAGGTCCACCCATGGCCTCCCAGACAACAACCACTTTCCTTTTTCGGACTTCACCCACCAAACTTTCCTTTTACGAAAGAAAAAATACCACTTTGCCGCAAAACGCACTCCGCGGTGGGGTCCCGGAAAAACACTTTTCCAACTTTCCAAAACAACTTGCCCGCTTTTCGTGGCCACACATCTTTTCCATCCGCATCGCAGTGGGGTCCGACCCTCAGCTGGCGGCTGAACAACCCATCGCCAGGTGCCGCCAAAGTTTATCCAAAGGTGGAAGAAAACGGGACGGGGGCTGCAGATGCCAGCCGCTGGCGTCAGAGCAGCAGACAGGATGGTCCAACAAAGGTCTCGGGTGATGTCCGGTGGTCCGCATGTCCCACCAGCTCTGCATTGGATGTGTGACTGATGGTCCTTCCATGGGCCTGTTAGCCGCACCCTTTGTTGTCCTGGTTTCTGTGGATTTCCAACGCCCACCCCACCCTTTCCTTTTCGGGCGGGGCACGGTCGACTCTTCCTATTTGGAAAAAAGCGGTCGTTTCCAGTGACAATAATTGCACTGGCGGTGGTGTGACGAGCTACTTTCTGTGCCGCGCAACTTTTCGTGCAAGGTCGATGAGGGTTCTCAGGAAGGATCGGTCGGGCAAAGTGTGGGGGACGGGGTCGACGGGGCAAATTGCATGGGTATCCTCGCTTTTTTTTTACTCTCTTCGGTGATGTCGGGCCAGGGCTGGGGAGTCCCGGGCGGATGGTTGAGGGGGAACGCCACAACAGGCGCAATCAATCACGATTGCCATCGGTGCGTTCGTGTTTTCCTGGGGCAAAGGGGAACAGAAATTTTGGCGCGATGACCGCGCAGGAACATCGTTTTTCTTTTTCGAAATTTTCTATCAACTGATGTCGAACCCCCATGGGCTCCTCGGAATTGTTTTCCGAATTTTTGTTCTTCGGAATTTTCTTTTTTCTGCAATTCGGAATTAGATAGGAATTTTGGAACTTTGAATTTTTTGTTGCGCTGCGCTTCTTGCTTGCGCGCCCCTTCCCGTGGCGGAAGCAGAGTTCTGGCTAAGTGGCGCCCTTGATTTTGCGTGTAACTGTAACTTTTGGCAGGCGCAATTGTAACTGTACCTCTCTTCTTGATTCTCTCGTCTTCTTTTTGCCTCCTTTCTTCCTGCTATGCATGTGCCTCCCTACGATCTGATTGGCCAAGACGTTGCATGCTCAGATCGATGCGTGGAGAGTGGCTACGTCCCCCACATCGCGGCCTGGCCATGCAGAACATAGGCACTTCCTTTCTCCTCCCCTCCTTCTCGATAGCGCAATCCCGTATCTGCCGTGCATGCATGCACGTTATAAATCCTGCGAGCGCGATCAAGGCTCTCTCCCTAAAAACTCGGGAAATTCCAAGGGTTAGCGCGATCAGCGAGGGTCGGTTAACGTGTAAGTGAAGAGGTGATTGGATGTGGGAGTTGGGCGCCCCGACGAGCTGGTGCTGAGTATGTGGGGTTGACGTGCGGGCCGTGACGGACTGTGGTGCACGGGCGAACCTGGCTTGCAGATGCGGACCAAGCGGGGTGACAATTCCGTAAGTGTTGCGAGACGACGGACTGTCCGCACCGGGGAAAGAGAGAGAGAGAGAGAGAGAGTGTGGAGAGCAGACGAGTGTGAAATTGCGGCCTTCCTTTTTCTGTCCTTTGTATAAAATTTTGGTCTTAGGCAAAACACCTTCGTTTTCATCTCCAATTTCTTCCTTTTTTTGTATCTTGGTGTGCTGATCTACTCCCCCCCCGCCCCCTCCTCTTTGATGCCTGTTGATGGTTGGGAATCAAAATGTCTTGAGTTGATTGGATGTATGTGTCAATTAGCGCCTCATCTTTGCATGAATAAAAGCCTACATGTACGAGGATTCGACGAACACCTCACTGAATGGTTGCGCTGTGCGTCGGGGAAGGATTGCGAGATTGCCAATTGACTTTTTATTAATGTGAATGAATGAAGTGTGACTCTGTCGAAAGCATGGATGTCTGGATTGGTGAGCGGTTGCCCTCTGTTATGCATGACATCGGTTTTTAATTGGATTAGATGATCGCGTGTTGGACTTTTGAAGGACCACAGGGGACACCAGAAACAGCCCCGTCGACCGCAGGCGCGATCTTGAGTGCCCACGTGCAAGTGCGACCGCCAGGACGCGACTTACACGAGTGTACACGAGACCCGTCTGCTGTGTGTCCGAAAATCGATTCAACGCGGGTTTCGGGTTGAAAAATTGAACGCGCGTTGAATTCACGTTCAATCCCCGTTCAAACGCGCGTTGGACGCGAATGAACGGGGTCCGCGAACCGCGTTTCCACGCGTTTGGGGGGGGGGTAGAGGTTTTGTG